ATATATATATATATATATATATATATCAAACCGGTTTTGAATTAGTTCAGCTCACGTTTGGTTCCGATTTGATTCGATTTCCCAATTCGATCTGTACACCTCAGACCCTACGAGCCGTTATATATCTGAATCGCATTCGGGCGCTGTTCCTTTATTGGCGATTTGTTCTTTCGGAGGAGAGAAGCGAATCAGATCGAGCATCGGAAACCTCGCCGATCCCAGTCCTCCGATGTGAGAGAGAGAGATAATTGCGGATCCCATGGCCAAGATCGACCCGTCGACCTCTTCCGCTCACCCCTCTGTGCCGATGGTCTCCTCTGGAGCATCAGTCGAAGGATTGCTTGTGATGGTGCGTGTTTCGATCCCTCTGATTTAAGTTTCGGCCTTCATCACAACCTGTGAAATCTTTGGTTCCAAGAAATAGTAGACGTCGATCGGGGGTTCCTCCTCCGGCTCTCACATATGGGAGGGGAACTCCAGATCCCAAGGTCAAGATCGACCGTCGTCCTGTCCTCCTCCCCTTCCTCGAAATGCGTCGCCTCTCGGAAATTGAAAGCATAGAGAACCGACCAGTAGAAGTCAGTTGAGGTTGTTTCAGAAAATGATAATTTCTTAGATAGGTTTAATTGGAAAATCATGTGACGTGAGAAATTTCTACATCAAAGGTGGGTTGGCTTCATGATCATCATGAATCAATGGAATGATAAAACATATGGAAAGTTTTGGTGTCAAGTTAAGTCTTCAAGATTTAAGTATCAGCGAAATGATACTTACACTCCACCACTCGTTTCATAATTACATCAAATTTTAAAGTCTTAAACATTATCTGCTTGCTTGCATATGTGTGAGCAGACTCAAATATTAATACAATAATAATAATAATAAAATCATAAATCCTAACTAATCATTAAGGTTTATAAATGATCATATGTTTATGTTTAGCTAGGTTCAAAATATTTAAATTTTTATTTATAATTTTTATTAAGATCTTTTTAGATTTTTTTCTATGTTTTTGCATGTCATTATCATTAATTATTATATTGAGAGTCTTCTAGCATATGTTCATATCATCCTAATTGATTTTCTTTCGTCTTATCTCTATCAAGATGATAACATTAGAAAATTTTATCATGTAAATAACTAATAAATCTATTTATTATCGATATAAAAAAGATAAAAAAACTTAATATAAATTTTTGGTATAATTTTCTATATTAATGGAAATTCATTTAACATACTCATTATAGTTCTAACACTAATAACTACATTATATATATATTATAATAAAATTTTAGAAACTCTATCATAGAGTTTTTCTTAGTCAATAAAAATCTGATACAAAATTTTTTCTCTCTTTATTTTTTCATTAATTATCTTAATAAATACATAGTTTTCATATTTAATCTTTTAAGTATAAAAATCAAATTATTCTATATTTGATAATTATGACTTATGATTTAAATTTATCCTTATTTTTATAAATTGATACTAAAAAAAAATTTCTTATGATTTTATTTAAAATTTTAATCAAACTTAAATATTAATATAAGAAATTATTTGATTAAAATTTTTCATATATACTGACTCAAATTTGTTTGGGATGCATATTTGATTCGCATTTATATATTCTTCTAATTATGTGCATAAAATGTGGTGGTGGATGCTGATACGGATACAGGTTTTATCCTGCTTCGCACGATTCGTGTTTGAACACGTGTCACGATCTCGTTTCAAGAAGCATGGACTCTTGGAGGCGGCCTGAAACCAGAACTGAGAGGGGAATTCCTCTTGGGCATGGCGACGAGAGCCGCGGCATCTCTCGCCGTTTCTACCCTCTTCCCTCCGCCAAATCGCGTTCTTCCTTCGAGCTCCGCGCGGATCCCCTCTAGCTCCGTGGTGAAACCTTCCGTCTTCCTCGCCTCCCCAGCTGCGATTCGAGAACCACGGAGTAGGAGCAGGAGGAGCACACGCGCCTATGGTTTCTCCGGTGAGATTTCTCCTCCCCAAAATTCGTTCTTGTTTCCAGTTTTTGTTCTCTTTATCACAATCATGATTGTCGTAAAAGCCTCTTTACTGTGTTAAGCCTGATTTTGGTCATTTCGCAACTCGACCACCGAGAAAGTTGGAATCTTGATGAAGTTTATTGCCATGTCATGCCGATTTGGATTTTTTATGTTAATTTTGTAGTTAGGTATCGGAATATGTGATTTTGTTCGTTCAAGACCTACTTTTTATGAAATGATAGGAGGTATTTCCCTTGCTGGATTTTGGGAGTGAGTAGCTTAAATGATGCTATTTGTCTTCCTCAATTTTCTGTAAACAATAAGGGATGGAGCTCATGCCTATTTAATTTTCTCTCAGGAGCCAATATGTCTGTAGCTGCACAGGAAACATCACTTGCTGTAAAGGTGAGGCATTTTTGTTTCAAAAAGATTAATACTTATGTAGTTGTTAGTAATAATGTGGATGCAGAAGAAGGCAGCTGAGATTTTGAATGATCTGAAAGGAACATCCATATTTCTTGTGGGTAAGCATCACCATGATCACTACCATCCTTTTTGGTCTTCCTCATATGAAGCATGCCTGCACAGGTTCCTATCTAAGAATCAAGAACTTGTTGCCTCTGTTATTCATAGGGATGAATTGCACCATGAAAACTGATTTGGGGAAGATCTTAGCTGATGCACTGAGATATTGCTACTTCGACAGGTATGATCTTTGAGTTGACACCCGATGCATGGATGCCTCGGCTAATCTTTAGCTAAATGCTTCATTCTTGTTTGTGCTATCACCAACAGTGATAGTTTAGTTGAGCAAGCCGCAGGTGGTGTCTCTGCTGCTAAATCGTTGAGAAAGGAAGACGAAAAGGGTTTTTGCGACTCAGAGGTGTGCCATGACTCATGACTTGATCATTCATATCGTGCTATGCCATCGAGCTGAGAAAATTACATGCTAATAATCTTTTGACAGACTGAAGTGCTAAAGCAGTTGTCCTCCATGGGTCGTTTGGTGGTTTGTGCCGGGGATGGTTCTGTGCAAACCTCGACAAACTTGTAAGCATGAATTATTCTTCCTGTGAAAGATCTCACATGGCAGCTCCATCGAGTTCCAACCATTATTAACCAAAGTATCTTGACTGTGTCTTGTTTCTTCAAGGGCTTATTTAAGACATGGTATCTCGATATGGGTAGATGTTCCCTTGGATTACTTGGCAAATGAGATGCTGATGGGTGAGGTGTCATCACCTATCACAGTAAATGCACCAGAGTCGGATTCATTCTCAGAGGTAAGCCTCTCTTTGTGGACAACCAAATGAACATTCTTGGATATGTTTTTTGTTGTATGTTTCAATAAATTTTTATCACACATTAATTTGATGAAAATTTCTAAACTGCTTCTGTCTTCTGTTTACTTTAATTTCTATTATTATGTCTGTGTGACGATATCTGGATGCATACAGCAGGTGCTGGAATCACTTATGCAGCAATATAATGAATTGAAAGAAGGATTTGGTACAGCAGATACAACTGTTTCACTCCAAAGTAAACATATAGTTGTGTAGAAACTTAGTTCATACATAGTAGATCGCCTTTGTAACATTACCATCACCTTAATCTTTGCAGAGGTAGCCTCTCAGCTAGGTTGCGAAGACTTCACGTCTGTCACCCCAGAGGTCATGGTGTTGGAGGTAAATTAGAAATGTAACAGAAATAGCATGATTACGATTCCTTGATCACGCAGTAAGGCTTTAAATATGCGGACAAAAATACCTGTTGCAGGTTCTGAAGGGACTCGACAGGCTGATGAGTGTGAAGAAGATGATGGAAGCAGCTGCCAAACCATTTTAACCAAAGCCGTGCTGGATGCGATCAGGAAATGAAACAGGTTGAAGGCACTAGATTGACCTGAGCTGTTCGAGGGCCAGGCCGTTTTCATCAACAGCTTCAGGGAGCTGCTGCAATGCATCTGTAATTTAGAGACGGCTGATTCAATGGTAGAAATAGCTTTAGGCACGTGGACGATATCCATTATCTTCTCTTTTACCTGTCCTTTTTGTTTAGTGGTACTAAAGTGCCAAGATGCAGCTAGCTACCTACCAATCAGTCACTCTGGTACTGAGGATGGAGTTCTGCAAATGGAGATTAACAGAGGCATGGCAGTTCTGCTGGTAAACTCTTATCCATGAAAGTAACAGAGATCAGATCTGGAACATATTAGTCAAGAGCAGCCACTTTGTTATTGCTTTCCATCAGCAATGCAGAACACCAAAGCAGTCGAACATGATAGAAAGTGATGTGTTTGGAATGCAGAACACTAAAGCTTTCAGATTTTCCATGTGTTTGGAGACAAACAGGACCTGAGCTTTCACACAATGAACATAGACTTTTGAGTTGGGAGTTTACTATGACCAAAGAAAAAAAAGCCAA